TAGCTTTGTATTGTTACGTAATCTGAATTTTCAGAAACTTTCCACACGCCTATGAATATAAGTATGAATATGAGTATCTGTTATTGTGTTGCTGTAATTGGTGTGCTGTAAACTTCGTAAGCTATAACTGTGATTAACACTTATTAATCGGGAAAACCAGACATATTGACCGGGATTGTTTATAAATTTCAAACCTTACAAACCATTTAACTTCAGTGGATTCGCATCGGACATTAGAACTTTTACGAAGATATTATATAACTTCAGCAGTAAAAGAAACTCGACCTGAAAAAAAAAAAAACACAAGCTCGACCTGTAATCGGCGTGTGATCAGCGAGAACTACAGAGCTAGCTAGCTCTGTATTAAGTGAATTGTACCTACCTCAACTAGAAAGTGACTCATTCATCGTCAACCCTCGATAAGACATCAAGGAAATTCCAGACTAGAAAGAAGACTTTATAATGCTTGTGAGTTTGTAAAACTTTTGTATATAAACCATTGTTTGTAATAAATGTTATTGTAAATTGTATTGCTGTTTATATATGAAAACATATTTATATTAAAAAGAAACCGTATGTGTGTAGCAATCTTGTTGGCAAATATCATAAGGTGGAGATATGTCGGCACTTATTTCACCACTAAATCTAAATTACAATTTTAGCCCATTTGAAATTATAATACGTAACAATCAATTCCCTACAACAAACGAAGCCCTCCAAATACAGTAAAACTCATGCAAAGAAATATTTTTCATTTCACCTCAATAACTCAAAGACCGCAGAAAAAGAAATTTTATCAATAGGATATGGATGTTGACGACACAAGATCTAAGAGAAAAGTAACATAACATTTTAAGATTATCACGTGGCCGTCACTAAACAAAAATTACGAAAATTATTAACAAAAACTAAAACTTTTGTACAAGGCAAATACAGGAAATGAATGCTATTCTATTCAATTTGTAACAATGTTAAGAACTATGTTGGTAAATTGTTTACAAATAGAGTACCAATTTTGCCTGTTTTGATGCAGTGAGGTTCAATATATGATGTAAATTAATTAAATAAAACAAGAGATTATAAGCAGTTTTATGACAACCCATTTGGTAATTCGTTATTTTAATCTCTTTATCTTATTTTTTTCCCTTCGAACTTAGTTATAACCACCTAAAGCCTCAGATTTGACCATTAGCGCCAACCGAAGGTGAAACTTTCAGGATCAAAGACACAGTTAGCTGTTCCTTGACAATTCCAAAGGATGCAAACATTTTATGGCTTGCTTCCTCACTAGAGGGCTTGTCTAAAACTTTTATACTGCCTAAACATCAAAGTAAATTAACTACATAAAGTTTAATCAATTCTTAGATCAACAATATATGCTCACAGTTAAAGTAACTGCCTCTCCACGTGATCTTATTCCTCGTAGATTTATTAACCCAAAAGCAAAATAAGAACGCAAACATTGTCCAAATGCAGAAAGCATGATGGAATCTGCATATTTGTAAATTTAAGACAGTTAGTTTTATCGCAAAAAATGTGTTAGCACTATTTTTATTTGATAAATACAATTAAGAGCCTAACAACTTTACGCCAAACTGTCAATATATATGTTTCACAAAATTGTAAATTTATTATTATAAAAATGCTTTATTTTTCTTGGTATCTGAAGATATAATGATAAAGTAAAACTATTGCTTTGTACTTAATAAAATCGTAAATAGATGAATTCGTACTATTATAGTATTAAATAGTCCCTCCAGTGGCTCAGGGGTAAATCTCAGGCTTACAACGCTAGAAACCGGGTTTCAATACCTGTGGTAGACAGAGTACAGATAGCCTACTGTGTAGCTTTGTGCTTAACTACTAAACAAACAAACAAACAGTATTAAAGATAAGTATATTGGTTAATTAATAGCAAACTAGTTTCCAGCCTTATGTAGTAGCTAAGAAACTTAATTACGAATATATTGTTTATGATCCTTGATTATCACTGCGGAAAAAATGTTTTAGCGTAAACAAATTTTGAAATGTTTAGTGTAGAAAAAAGTCAAATTGAAATATATTTCAATGAACATACAGGTGAAATGATACATTTAACAACAAACAGTTAAAAAAAACATTTAGGGTTAATTCGTGAGTAAGTAGCTAGTTGTGATACTGCATTGATTGAGTAGAAATCATAGGTATGATTCTTTGGTGGTAAGACAAAGACACAACAGTTTATTTGTGCTGTGCTTAACACTTTTTTTGGGGGGGGATCCCCGTAAAAGTGTTTTTGCGAAATACCCGGGTTCCCTAATGGGTTGGGTGAAAACGTTTATGTTTGTGCAAACTTCAGGGCAGAGACGACTTGTTTGGCACCATTTAGAAGTTGGTGAGTTCAACAGTTTAGGAGAAGGGGTTTTCGGAAAATCCAGGGGTTCCCCAAGGGGTGAGGTGAAAGACTTTACCTTTGTGCAAACTTCGGGACTGAGATTATTTGTTTGGTACCATTTAGAAGTCTGTGCAACTAGAGGTTTAGGAGTTACATGATACACGGACACACAAACAGATACTGAATCTTATTATCTTGATTCTTATTTCATAACTGTACTGCAACCGTACTTTTTTGTAAACTATACTTTACAACAGTGCTGATAACGCATTTAGTTTTCTTTTTAACCGTTTTTTTTTCTAGTTAAGCATAAAGCTGCACAATGGGCTATCTGTGCTCTGCCCACCACAGGTATCAAAACAGGTTTCTAGCGTTGTAAGTCTGCTTACACACCCCTCTGCCACTGGGGGGCCTTTTTAACCGCTTTATACTTCAGAATTGTATTCTGGCATGACTGATGGTTAGGGTGCTCGACCCGCAATTTGGGGGTCACCGTTTCGAACCTCTTCATCGAATATAATCGTCCTTTCAACTGTAAGACCATCACAACGTAACATTAAATCCCACTGTTTGATAGTAAGAGAGTAGCCCAAGAGCTGGCAGTGGGTTGTTGACTATCTGCCCTTCCTATAGGAAGAGGTGGAACAATCAAGCCTGATCCTCACAGGTCCCGGAAAAGATCTAGATCCCGATAAAGAAGAGTTTCGATACAATCAGAACTGTGCTGTGACTTCATTTAGTTTCCGTTTTTTATTGCACTATACCTCAGGACTGTGATTATACCGCGATTCATTTTTTAACTTTACTATGCTCCTTAATTGTTTTCGCAACACATTTCGTTTCTAACTATTTAATATTATTAGCAATTATTGTATTTTTTTCGTATTCTTATGCTGTGTTAATATAATCTATGAAATATACATTGTAACAAAGACCCTAGCATCACAGATAGGCATAGTATTTCTGTTTGAAGATGTAATTAATTCTAATTCACATTAAACGTTTGGGAAACGTAATAATTGTAAATTATTTAAATATAGCGCGGATATTATATTGTAATGGTCGTGAAATAGAATAGTTATTTTGTTTACATCAGATGTAACCTAATATTGCCATTAACAACGTATATTCTAGTGTTTATCTAACCTAATGTCCTTTTCTGTTTCAAAGTTTGATATCCTTTACATTTATTATGTAGTTTAAATATTTTATTCACACATATATAGATACCCCAATCCCACGCATACGTATACTTATCATCATATGTGTACCAAAGTATTAAAACAGTAAACGCATATATAACTGAAACGTCATATGTAAGGTCTAAGAAGGTCAACAGCGACAACAGAGAATGAGCTTCAGTCCAAATATCACAAGGTAAGGAGTTCCTGAATATTCAAAGAGAAATCGTTACTGGATATAATATTACCGATAAGAATGTCTGAGACAATACAACCATTGTGTTTAATATGTTGAAAAAAACAAACAAAAAAACAACTGTCACTATAGATGTTGTTTTTTGTTATTAAGCAGAAAGCTACACAAAGGTATATATATCTGTGCTATGCCCACCACGGGTATCGAAACCCGGTTTCTAGCGGTATAAGTTCGCAGACATACCGCTGTGTCACTGGAAGGCGTCAATATGGAATATAGGGTCAATCAACTCATTTATTCTGTCTCAGTCTGCTGGGAATTTGAAATAAGTTTTGAAATGAAACTGCGTATTTGGCTTTAGTTCCATCACAAATGACTTTAATAATGAGTTTTGAGCTTCAGACTAGGACACTCATTTTATGTAGAAACTTCATGCCGTTAGAGTAGAGTCAATAAGTATATTATAACAATCGTGAATGTAATAATTCGACTCTCACGAGCTGCAAGCATGAAGAGTGGCGAGATAATACCTTTTACGTATACATCTCTTCTTCTACTTCGTCAGAGAACTTTTACGATTAGCTTTTGTACAGTGGTCTGAGAAGTTTCTTGAACTTAAGCTTTTATAGAGAGAAAACAAATATTCCCATAAGAGATTTCTTGAAAAGAGCAAAATGAAGTATTTTAGAACTCAATTGCCGTCGAAAATATATAACGGTTCTAAGACTTTGGCTTTCTTTCTAAATTACTATCAACACATTTGTGTTTTCCGTTAAGTAAACTGTTTGAGATATCTAGGTAGTTGGGTAGACATATGAAGGTGGTCTAATATGTCAGAAATACCATAAGCAAATGAATTTATTGAAGAAAAAAATAAGGCAAATTTTGAAGCACCTTTATATATATAAATATCTATATTTCCAGAACTAGTTAGCGTACTAGGTTTAAAAAAATATTACAACAGGGAATCAATTTTATATGTTTATAGCTTCATGTTCTGTACTTGTTTATGCAATGGATATCAATCAGAAAACGAAATTTTTTTTTCGTTTAAAAAAAGTAAAACTGAAGATCTAGAAATATAAAAGGTTTCCCCCAAAAAAGGAACAAACCCAAATGAACATGTTTATATCGTCATGGTTTCATAGGATATTATCGATCAAAAACTAGAACACGAACCAGCTGAAGTCGACTATATCAATTCTGCGTAAACCAACTTCCTTGGCAGAAGACGGCTGGCATTCGTCAGTAGAGGAAGCACTATCCGAGCTGAAAAATCACCATCGCAGTTAAATTAAAGCTACAGCGACTTCTAAGAAATGTATCAGTCTACCTAAACATTTCAGTCGTAAGAGATTTATCAACTGGTATGCCGGGAACAGAAACTTGCTGTTGTTGTAAGACAGCTAAAGAAGGTTGTGTAGCATGCGGATTGTATACTCTGGTAAGAAAATATATATAATTTTCATTTCTGTATAAGTGTATCTATATTTGCTTATGATACGAATACTTAACGTACTAAATCTTGTTTAGACAGAACAAAAAACTTATGTTCTTAGAAAAATATTTTTCAGGGCTAATGCGTTTTGTACAACGATGATATTAAGCGACAAGGGTGTCAGATGAAGATTATTCAGCTGCTGACTTAAGCATCATTAAACGAAATGTGAAAATAATAAAATGATTAATTATTTGTAGTTACATAAACTACATAAATCTCAATTACATGAACATTACATAAAAACATTCAAAATATACCTAGATTATAGAGCAATACTTAACCAAATTCGATGACGAGGAACCCACTTTGAGACTAGTAATGGCTGGAGACGGCTTGAATGGGTAATGAAGAAAAGTTTAATATAAGTTTAACATAACAGCAAATGTGCAACGTTTCGACAAGGTTTTGTCATCATCAAGAAGGTGGAGGAGAAAGAATGGAAGACCTGGTCGGATGTGAGAAGCAAACCGATAAACCGGGAGAGGAGCAGGAAGAAACTAATATGGTGCCAGAAAGAAACTGAAAGCTATGTTTTATTTATCACCAGTATTAAACAGCAACTGTATATATTTACATTGGTTTGAGTCAATTTCTCATAGAAGTATAAGTACAACGTAAGTAAAGTTGATATCCATAAGAAGAGGAAACAAAGTGGCAATATAGCATTTCGTAAATATTTATATATCCTTATCATATGCTTACACTTTTAGACAATTTTCACCTTTTTTGTCTAATAATTTTTGTTCTGTCTTTATTATTATGTACATGTGAAAAAATAGCGAAATACTTTATCAAGTATGTAATGAAACGTGGATGTCTTGCTCTAGATAAAGAAGTAAGCACGTTTGTTAAACACGTATGACAAGAACACGTATTCATGATTGTTTAGTTAAATATCAGTACTCATAATAATACTTGTTTCTCAAACAACTAACTGTCATTATTTGGAAAGCATCTCTTTTGTGGTAATTTCTATTGCTTCCTAATAGTGGCTTATGAAACATTTTGTGAAATATTGTACTTAAATCAGAATTATAAACTTAACTTTCTACAATTATCTTTTTGTAAGGGAATTTTAGCATGAGAAATGTATTATACTTTTCAAAATCAAAATGCTGTTGAAAATGCTCAACAGCTTGCCTGCTCTCCTAACCCACAAGTCTATTTTCATAGCCGGTTGTGGACTGCAAGCGGAGTGGTGTAAGAATCAAATTACCCTTCGCAAGACTGCTAAAAAGAACATTGAAAGTTGTTTTAATTGAAGACTGAAAAATTAGTCTCTGTTTTTGGTTTTGTTTTCATTAGTGCGGTCCTTTTTTCTAGCGCAAAAAGGTATTTTTATCAACCATTATTTGGCAAAGTACTAGACCGATTGTCACCAAACCTGGAATGCGCACTTTAGTTCCACAGAAAGTTCGTATACGACTTGCTTTGTGTCTTTCCTGTTCGTTGAAAGGGTATGTTATCTAGTTAAACATAAAAACCAACGAAAAATCATTTTACAAAAGTACAACAAATATTTTTATCTGTTTCTCTAATTCAGTTTTTATCAGCATCAGTTTTAGTTATGTCATTAAAGTAACTTCGTAAAACTAAAGATCTCAATTATTAATTTGAGAGGTAGAAACATTTGAGTGATTCTGCTTCGATGTCAAATCACAGGAAGAGTGCGTTTAGAGGCATATTCGGTGAGTATACATCACATGAAGAAGCTGTTTATTCTTATTGAGATTACTAAACATAGTCGAGAAGTATACAGTTCACGTAAATTGCTTATTCACATCACTCAGCTCACAGCAATATATAATGACTGTACAAAACTGTTTCACCACAATCGGTAATACGAATACTGAACTGTTTCATCCACAAGAAGTATAGAAGAGCTGACTTCACTCATATAATTTACTTTTCATTAAGAGTTCCACGCTGTTATTATGCAAACCCTCATTTATATGATATTGAAGAATGTTAACGAATGTAAATTTTTCATATCATGCCCCATAATGTGCATGATTAGGTTGGATTTACATTTAGTGGGTGTTGATAAATGTTTTTAAGAAAGATTCAACTGCTGTTGAGTTAAAATCTAGCTTTCGCTCAAGTTTCTTAATGGCTAAAATTTCTTTAGTTCTTACATCTTGTTCGTTGTTGGAACTACATATTATTTCAAACTTATTTTCGTCTGCAATTCCGTTACATTCTTGATTTGGATCTTTGAAGAATTACCAACATTAGGTTTCAGGTTGATAGCTTAACACCTGTTAGGTATAAAGTCAATTTGATAAAGATCTTATTTTATAGAGCTTATCGTACAGCCAGTGATTATTGTTATTTAGTAAGAAGTATGAGAAATGGGCTGTTAAAATGTTTTCATTTATAATTACACAATAAAATTTTTAAATAGGGTGTACATCTTCCATAAAATGAGTTATGGTGTTCCCAAACTGTCATTCTGCATCAGTTTTCCATTTATGGGTAAAGACAGTTATGTTTTGAAGAATGAACCAAAATTATCTTGAAATCAAACTATCGAAAAATTGCGATTCATGTTAAGCTCTAAAATCACTATCAGGAATAGAGAATTTTTCAACATAGAGCAGTGTACAAAAGAACATCTGAAGCTTAGCGCTTGTAATTCTTCATAGTATTAAGCCAAGAACGTGATGGAGATGCAGATGAAAACAAATAATGTAGGTCTACCAACTGGCAAGACGACAATTTAAACTCTAGCTATCAAGAAACTTAAGCAAAAGTTGGATTCTAATTCATAAGTAATTCAATTCTTCTAACACCGGAGATTGTAAGGTGCAAATTATTTCTTCATATTAAAATAAGAACGTAGATAAATAAAATATTTATAATACAGCGGATCTTGAATCAGATGCTTGTGTACTATAGGAATCTCCACAATTACATAAAGTCTGTTCTGTAAAACTTTCAGTTTCTGAACCATCGTTACGTTGATTTTGTTCAGTTTGATACATGTCCATGTTTCAATTCATCCAGCTTACCACATGACTTTGCAGTTTTATTAAGTTAGTTTTCTTGGTATTTATATTTTCAACCTGAATTTCAATATATAAGTGGAAAATGTGCTAAACAGCAAGGGCAGCAATCCCTCAGCCTCAGCCTTCTGTTAACCAAATAAAGGGATTAATTGATACAGCATAATGCCTCTGCAACTAAAAGTTCGCAGCGTGTTCAGCTGTACCATGTATCGAAATCTGGATCCTAATTGCTACGAGACACCCAACAATTTTTCCTTACTACAGAAAATAGATTTCAATATATTATGGATTAATCCTTGGAAAGTTTCTGGATTTCAAAAACAGTCATATCCTTTGTACATAGTATCATTTAAAAACAAAATAATATGGATCAGCTTGGGAACCAGGACCACCCATAAATATACCTGCGACAAGTTGTACTCAAGACATGGTAAGAAAAGTGTCTTGCAACGAGTGAGAACACAAACATATAGAGCCATCAGCGTTCTTCAGCAAAACTTTATAACATAAAAATATAAGAATTTTCATTTGTAAAACTGATACAAATCACTCGTACAAAAGCTACTTCAATGATATATCTATTCAATCATCACATACTTCAATCAACTGGGAAATTAAATAGATGTTTATGATATTCCTGTGATATGGGGTTATTAAACTGGGTGCTGAGTAATGTTGTCTTCATACACTAGATGGCTCATGGAAAGCTTTAGGGATGGTGTGTGTGCTTCTAACATGACAGTCTTAAGATGTAGCCTTTTACCACAAGGCTGTTGTTGATATATATATATACCTACCAGACAAAGCATGTAGTTCAATAATGTCATGAGCTCAAAAGTCATATTAATATAATGAATTCAACCTCTGTATGTTTGTGCTATGTTTTAATATAAACTGTACTTGTGTCATTGAATATTATTATATTTGGTTTAATGTTTCCTGAAAGTGTTTAAAAGAAAAATTTTCGGCTGAGTGTTTAATGAATGATTGCTAAATGATCACTTGTAACATTTTTCACAGGAAAATGTTGCCAGAAGTGATTATTTTGAACTCTAAAATGGTAGAAAGTTTAACTTGGTTAATTTCTCGTATCTGTTTGAAGTCGAAGAGCAGTTGCTACTTCAATCGTTGGGCTAAGCCTCATTATTAGAAGAACCTTAAGGATATTATTGGATGGAGAAGAGCAGGACAAACTCCTCAAGTATATATAACACAAGACACATAACAGTACTAAATTATTTTATTTACTTTGGGTAATATGTGTCACACTTATATAAATAACAATAAGATATATAACCCAAATAAAATGAAATAGATATACATTATAAATAAGCAAGCAAGTGGTAGATGCTAGATGGTGCCTCTTTGATTGAAGATTGGGAATGAGAGATGTCACTATGTTACCTAATCTGGAGACCAACAACATGATACAATGGGGCTCCTTTGCTGTAGGGAGGAGAGCCAGTACTAAACTCCTCTAGTGTGTAAATCATCATCATTTCATTTAATTTTTATAATAGTCTACAATATATTGGAAGGGCTTGTTTTTTTTTCCTTTTGTAGCTCTTTTGAAAAGTACTAAGTTGCCACAAGATTAGCTGCAGATATAACTGTACTATTACCAACTGCTTAGTCATAAGTATAAGTACAATATTCTTTGTATTTAGTTCAAGAACTTTATAAAGTTATCACTTGGTAGATCTAGTACAAATAATCATGTTAGTTTCAAGTTAAGATTAACTTTTTGTTTTTCCTATTTGCAGTGTTACCATGTTTTTACTTATATTCTTAGCATAGTTTCACTATGTGTTTAGTTTTAAATATATTGCAGTTACCGTGAGTGGATTGGTAAAGCAATTACTGAATTATAATTAATGTTAAAGTTAGCTTAGTTTAAATTTAGTATATTCTCAAGTATAAGTCTAAGACAGAGTG